GCCCTCTACACAAACATGTGCAAGCCCTGCCCCAATCCTGCACACATACACATCATACACACAAACAAGTGAATAATTTTTTTAAGCAAAAAATAAAAATATATATATTTGTAGAGAAAAAAACACAATTAGTGCTCATTTCTGACAAACTTTGGGAATGTAACGGTTTCTGGAGCTGGTCAGGAGAGAGCTGGTGTTTAGACGCAAATGGGGATTCTCTTACCTTTTTCTCCAACAAAAGGCAAAGACCACGTGAAAACATCCATGAAGTTTGGGAGCCAGTAGGGGTGTGGAGAACAGTTAAACTGCCTGATGTTCATGACATTGCTTTCATATTTCAACACTGCAGCTAAAAAATTAAAGAGCAAGACACTGGGCACAGAAAACCACAGCATAGCAGCCAGCACACTTTGTTCCTGTGGACCTACACACACTTTTCTGTGACCTGTAAACTCAGGCCAGGACCAGGACAGCTTGATAAGTTTAAAGAATTATACAGGGTTTGTTCTCTTAGGGATTATCACAGAGAGCAAAGTTACATGATAAAAGTATTGAAGACACTGTGCTCTGAAACACTTTGCTGTACATTAAAGAAAACTCAGATTCAACACAGAAAAACTTCCTGAAATGTTCATTTACTAGCCAAACAGTTACAATCACAGCTTCTCTCTAAGGGCAAATATCACCCATCTAATGGACACAGACTGTTTAGCTGGTCATAAGCCACAGCTAAAGCTCTTTATAAACTCTCCAGGAATTTATCAGTTCACAGTAGGGGCAATAAACGGCAAACCTGGAACAGTTTATAATCAATGGTTAAGGGAGTACATAATCTCTCCTCAGTGAATTTTTAAAAAGCTTCTTCTATTCTCAGCATTCTCAGAGTGCATATAAACATTTAATAGTAATCATGTCACATAGGTAAGTGTATGCCCACTTATGCCAAGTTGATTTTCTGTATACTATTTTTATGATCTCTGGCAAAGATTTATTAAATAAACACTTTCCTCCTTTACTTTTCACCAATCTGTATGCTTCTAATAATATCAGAATCACCTTTATATGTCAATGACAGCCAGCAGGCATACTCTGTAGTATTTTCTGCATCCTGGGCCCAATTCAGTATTATTGCCACTGTAGTAATGAACACCAATTTTGGCCAACATGGCATAGAAGTCTATTTCAGATTTCCTCAAGCTGGGCAGTTGTTGTCAAAGATAAACAATTTTCCTCGGCCCTGTCTGATCATCTTCAGAGTCTGCTTATATCCCAGCATGTAATTTCCACTTTGTATAACAAACTGGAGCCTAGAGTTGACAGACTCCACAGACTTTGTTTGTGTGTGTGTTTGAGACAGGGTTTCTTTGTGTGATAGCCCTGGCTGTCCTAGAACTCACTCTATAGATCAGGTTGGTCTGGAATTCAAAAAGATCCTCCTGCTTCTGCCTCCTGAGTGCTAGGATTAAAGGCTTGTGCCACCACCATGGCCCTGTTAAAGACTTTTGTGTCTTCTTTGCAGCCACATCTTCCTGCCTTAAATGAGGGACAACTCCCAACCAAGAGCAGCTGCCGAGGTAGCTGGGGATTGATAGAGACTTCTTTATTTTTAAATGTTTCTTATTCTGTATCACTTGTGCTGTTATTTGTACTATTCTTTCAATTATTCTTTTTTTGTTTTGTTTTTGAGACATGGTCTTTCTCTCGCTACAAAGCTCTGGCGATCTGGAATTCACTATGCAGACCAGGCTGGTCTTGAACTCAGAGATCCACTTGCTTCCTGCCACCCAAATTGTGGGATTATAAAGGTGTGTGTGACTACACCTGGCTTTCTTTCAATTATTTTTAGACATGAAATACAACAATTCTCTAGGAATGTTAGACCAAGGTCACACTGGGTTCCTGTTTCCTTGCTGTGAGATAGAGTAGTGTTCTAAACTTTAAGTTAATGAGTGTCTAAAATGTATAGGACAGACTACTAAAAAAGGATTTCCAATTGTTAAAAGCCTAATTTTGCCTGATATGTACACCTCCATTGTTTTCATGCTGTGTGCATTTTATGTAGCCTAAGTGAATATATCAATAATTCTCTCACTCTTCACAGGAAAATGAAGTGTGTCTCAACAGTGGATGATTAAAATTGGAAGCTTAAGAAACTTTTCTGGAGTATGCTCCCAGTGGAAAAGGGAGAGGGGGGAGACAAAAAAGATTTAAAACCCGAATTTATGGATGCTTCCGGTCATCAGTGGAACTGAGATGCACCTTGGGCACCAGGGAACTTAAAGATCACTCCAAATAAGCTCAGCTGGCAGAGCACTGCCTAGCATGCATAATGTCTGGCCCTACATATATCAGACAGAGCATATGCCTGTAATTCCAGCACTCTGGAAGGGAGGAAGGCAGATCAGAAGTACAAGCTCATCATAGGCAACAAAGCAAATTCAAAGGTCATCTGGGCTCAATCTCAAAAAAAAAAAAAAAAGAAAGAAAGAAAGAGAGAGAGAGAGAAAGAGAAAGAAAGAAAAAAGAAAAGAAAACCAACAACAACAAACCATGAAAAGCAACAACAGAAGGGGGAAAGGGTAAAAGAGTTCTTTTTCAGAATTAGAGAGACATTTGTAAACTGAGTGTGATGCACACATCTTTAATCCTAGCACTCGGGAGTTAGCAGCAGGCTGATCTCTATGAATTTGAGGCCAGCTGGGTCTACAGAGTGAGTTCCAGGACAGCCAGGGCTACAGAGAAACCCTGTTGGGGTGGGGTAGGGGAGTTGGGGGCAGAACAAAAACAAATGAAAACAAAAACCACCAAATGAATCCCAGCACTGGAGAAGCCAAAGCAGGGTGCTGAGTTTGAAGCTGGCTTGGGCTGTACAGTGAAACCCCATTTTAAAATACTAAACAAATAAAGTATCACCAGATAGTGACATTTGAGGTAATATTATTAAATGTTCCAACATAACTCTGAAACTATTTATTAGTTTTATATTTTGACTCAGTCATAACATTTACCATGGTCACTATTTATAACCACAGAGACCCATCTTTTAGGAGATAAAGGCCAAGCAGCAGCTTACATTCCAATTTATTGACCTTTATTCCAATAAGATCTCCTCTTCCTCTAGGTATGGGAGTACATGCCTGTAATTCTATCAGTTGGGAGATTGAAGCATGAGAACCCCAAGTTCAAAGCCAGCCTGGATTATATAGGAAAACCCTCTCTCAAAACAAAACAGCTGAGAAGACAGGTGCGGTGGGGTGAGGAGAGAGAGGGAAAGAGATGGGACAGGGAGATGGGGAGGGAGAAGGACAGTGAGATGGAGGGGGGAGAGAAAAGGAGAGGGAGAGGGAGGGAGTGTGTCAGGGTTAGGAGAAGAGGTGTCAGGGTCTCGCACAGTGTAGGATAGCAGACATTGAAGCTACGGCCTTCCCCATGCTAAACACATGCTTTACCATAGAGCCATATCCCTTACCCACCATCTTTTCATCTGACTGAAATTTTGTACTTAAAAACTGGTGTTCAGGATCTAACCTAGTGGTAGAGTGCCTGCTTCACAAGGTCCTAGGTTCAATCCATAGCACCAAAAGATAAAAATAAGTAAATGAACACAATAATAAAAACAAAACACAAAATTAAGCTAGAACTCACAGTTACTAACAGATTCACACTGCAATATTGCTGGGCTGCTTTACCTTTATTGTTATAGACATCTAGGTAATTGGGGGCAGAGAAAATCGTAATGAGTGATGGAAAGCCAGTGGTCTGGCTCTTCCTGTACATTCGGTACCTAGAAAAGAGGTGACAGCTCAGGCATCTTGACACTAACAGTAAAACCTCTGCATGGATCTATGAGATATAATGTAACTTACCCAGCATCCTGGGCTTCATGGGCTCTGATTATTGACAATAAACTGTTGTGCTGTAAAAATTCACAAACTGCAGGGTAACTGAAAAAGAAAATGGAAAAACTCAAGTCCAGAATTACAGCAGTTATGTTTTAATAGGAAGAAAGAGAAACCCCAATTCTAGAGTTGTTTTAAGATTACAGCTACTACAATCTCCTCAGTTTCTTAAGATTTATTTTCTGTCTATGAGGGTTTTGCCCTCACATGTCTGTATGTGGGCCTGGGACCCCTGGAAGGAAAAGGAGGACGGCAGATCCCCTGGAGTTGGAGTTATGGACAATTATGAACCACTATGTGGGTGCTGGAAACTGAACCCAAGTCCTCTGGAAAGATAGCCAGTGCTCTTAACCATTGAGCTGTCTCTCCAGCCTACCAATGAACCTTTTTAAAAGCTCATAAGCCAGTGATTTCTACTTCACATACTATCAGACCTGAAGAAGACACCTTAGAATAAAAACAGCTTCTCCATCTTTTAATTTATCTTAATATTAATATTACAACAAAAACTTCTGCGACCTTGATATGAAAATGTACAACAGCATGACTGCATGTGTGTACAGTAAGTCCACAAAATGGGTGCATGATTTTCTTCAATCATCAAATCTTTAGAAAAAGCAAAAGAATCTACTTATAGCTTTGTATGTAATATCAATACCAAGATAAGTCTATGCATGACTATTTCAGGAGCAGATATAAATATCATAGACCACCATATTCTAATGATATCTCATATACTCCTGAAATCGTCTTATTATTTTTACTTCTCTGGATGACAAATAGGAAGAACTAGAGACTATAAAACTACCCTGAGAGTTTGTAGATGTTAATTGCGTGTTTGTTTCTTGAACTGGGATGTAACTAAGCTGGTATGCTACTTGCCCAGCATGCAAAGTTCTGTGTAACTAGGGATGGTGCACACACTTGTAACCCCAGTACTTGGAAGGCGGGACAGAAAGTCAGAAGTTCAAGACCATCTTTTCCTACAGAGTAAACTAGAAATTAGCCTGGGATGCATGGGATCTTGTCTGAGGAAAAAGGGGGCAATTTTGTTTTTCACCATGCTCAGCGGAAAATGTTTAATTTTCAGATTAACTGTATATGACATTATCATGATTGCAGAACAGGAAGTCCCTGCTCTTAACTGCCAAAGAAACAATGATCTATCAGCTATTCACAGACTATGAAGCAGTTTCATGGAAGCCTTAGTAATTAGGTAGGAGGCTGTGAAATCTCAGCAGAGCCTAAGACCTAGGAATCATGCCAGGAGATGCTTTTCCCAGTGACTGTATGAAATTAAGGATTCCTAGGAGCCTTTGGCCAAAATATTTTCATCAACCACTTGAGTATTTCAGATGTTTTCCTGCATAAGGACATTTTATGTAAATATACTACTGAATCATTAACAATGAACTCATGGCCAATAACAAAACTCACGCTTGACAAATCTAGCACAGACCTATTTTCTCTCACTTACATTATAGCCTGCTTGTGCGCTATCCTTGAGTACCATTGTCAACACTGAAATAGATGTCTGACAAAAAAGTGCAAAAACTCCTGTCCTGTTACTTGTTCTCTCCTACTTCCAATGTCCATCCCATTTGTCTTTCTAAGTGAGGATTGATCATCTTACCCTGGGTCCTCTTTCTTGTTTATCTTCTTTAGGAGTACAGATTTTTGTATGTTTATCCTATCTTATAGGTCTAGTATCCACTTATAAGTGAGTATATACAGTGTGTGTCTTTCTGCCGCAGAGGGCCTCTGAAAGACTCTACCCAACAGGGTATCAAAGCTGATGCTGAGACTCATAACCAAACCTTCGGCAGACTGCAGGGAATCATATGAAAGAAAGGGGTGTTAGTATGACCTGGAGAGGACAGGAGCTCCACAAGGACCAAATATATGAGGGCACAGGAGTCTTCTATGAGACTGTTTCTCCAACCAAGGACCATGTATGGATATAACCTGGAACCTCTGCATGGATGTAGCCCATGGTAGCTCAGGATACAAGTGGGTGTCCTAGTAAGGGCAACAATGACTATTTCTGACAGGAACTCAATGGCGGGCTCTTTGACTCCCCCCCACCCCCAAGGAAGGAACAGCCTTGCTAGGCCACAGAGGAGGACATTGCAGCCAGTCCTGAAAATACCTGATAAACTAGGGTCAGATGGAAGGGGAGGAGGACCTCCCCAATCAGTGGACTTGAAAAGGGGCAGGGAGAAGATGAGGGAGGGATGATGGAAATGGGAGGGATTGAGGAAGGGTGCTATGGCTGGGATACAAAGTAAATAACCTGTGATTAATATAAAAAATAAAAATTATTTAAAAAGTGCAAAAACAGTAACAAAAATGCAGGATAGGGGTTAGAGAGATGATTCAGTGATTAAGAGCACTTGCTGCTCTTGCACAAGACCTGGATTTGGTTCTTAGCACCCATATCCATAATTCCAGTTCCAGCTGGTCCGATGCCCTCTTCTGGCTTCCATGGGTATCAGGTAGACACACAGAGCAGAAACACACATGTGAGCAAAACACTTATACACATAAAACAAAAGAAACGAATACTGGGGGAGAAAAAGTCAATGACTTCTAACCTCAACTGCAAGTCTGTGTACCAGGTGCCTCAGGCACTTTTTTTGTTCTGCACAGTGTGTCCACTAGTGCTTCTGAGAGCTCTGTGAAGAGTGACTGAGTGTGGGTGTAGCTTCCATTCCCACGCTAAGCTTTTGAAGGAGGATTTCTGGATAAAAGGCCTGTGTTGAAAGAGGTGCTGTCAAGTGACCATAGGAACTGTATCAAATGACATTCAGCCACCAATGCTAAGTTCTTAGGCAATGTCAAAAGAAGGAAAAGTTAAATCGTTTCAGTAAATAAGTCAACAGAAAGATGGAAGAGTAGAATTTAAAAAGATAACTTGAAAAATTTTTAAAGGCAAATTAAGGCTTCTTTTGTACATGTGTATCATTTAATTCTTGTATTATCTTAGCCAATCAGTAGCAAGATTTTTTTCTTTTCTCTCTCTCTCTCTCTCTCTCTTTTTTTTTTTTTTTTTTTTGGTTTTTTAAGACAGGATTTCTCTGCGTAGCCTCGGCTCTCCTGGACTCACTTTGTAGACCAGACTGGCTTCAAACTCAATGCAATCCCCCTGCCTCTGCCTTCCCCAGTGCTGGGATTAAAGGCATGTGCCCCCATGCCCAGGTGCAAGTTGTTTTTTTTTTTTTTTAAAGAACTAAGTAAATGAATTATTTGTCATGATAAAACACTGGAATTAATAATTTAGATTTCAAACATCCCTATTTTCTCTACTTTTTTCACTTGGCAAATTACACTAGGAGCTCAGATGTGAGCTTTATCTAGGAAAAAAGCCAACTTCCAGGAAATGTCCTAGGCTTAGATCACAGTGTCCTGTTTGTCTTGTTTTCTATAACAGAAGCTGGGAGCTTTTCAAAACATAACAGGACTCCCAGCCCAGGCCTTCTGAATCAGAATCTCCTTGGAAAAAGTAAAGTCATCTGATTTTTTTCTTTCTTTGAGATGGTTTCACTGTGTAGCCCTGTTTGGCTTGGCACCCAGTATGCAGATAATATCGGCTTCAAACTTAGAGCAGCCTGCCTCTATCTCTCAAATATGACAGTGAAGATATGTGCTACTATGTCTGCTCAGTATCTAGTGTTTTGGGGTTTTTGTTGTTGTTGTTGTTGTTACTGCTGTTTTGGTCTGGTCTGGTTTGGTTTTTTGAGACAGGGTTTCTCTGTGTAGCCTTGGCTGGCCGGGATTCACTTTGTAGACTAGGCTGGCCTGGAAATCACAGAAATCTGCCTGTCTCTGCCTCCCCAAATGCTGGGATTACAGGTGTGTGCTACTGTGCCCGGCTCCAGTCTCTAGCTTTTTATGAAAGTATCTCTCTCTCTCTCTTTTTCTCTCTCTATGCATACATATATAGTTATATAGAGATAGATAGATAGACAGACAGACAGACAGACAGATGAGGGATTAGAGAAATGCTCAGTAGTAAAAAACACTTCCTGTTCTTGCAGAGCACCCAGGTTGGGTTGGCAGCCCCTACAGATGGCTCATCATCTGCAACTTTCAGTTCCAAGAAATCTTATGACCATTTCTGGTCTCCACAGGCACATGTGGTTCACACACATGTGTACACAAAACATTCATATACATAAAAATGAATCAAATATTTAGGAAGTGACTAAATATATCTAGAAACAAATAACAGATCATTTAGAAGTTATAACATCAAGACCCAGGGAGACATTTAAGTGTGTTCGCTAATCTATACTTTTTAAAAAGATTTTATTATTTCTTTGTTTTATGTATGAGGGTTCTATATGCATGTACACCTGCAGGCCAGAAAAGGGCATTAGAGGGTAGAGATGGTTGTGAGCCACCATGTGGTTGCTGGGCATTGAACTCAGGACCTCTGGAAGAGCAGATACTGTTAGTAACCACTGAACCACCTCTCCAGTCCTAACCTATACTTCTTACGTCTTACATCTGAGAACATATTAAGACTCCTCTGCTATTAAGGAATTGAACAAGTGCTTTCCCAGAATGTGTGAGGTCATGGGTTTGCTCTCCAACACCAAAAAGAAAGGAAGGAAGGAAGTGAGGAAAGAGGGGGAGAGAGAAAGAGATGAAAAAGAAATAAAAAGAGAGAGATTGCATCTCTATACTACATGTTTGAGACTTAAATCACTTAAGAAAAATTTCATAAAACCAAGTGTAGTAGTGTACACCTTTAATCCCAGCACTCAGGAGGCAGAGGCCAGCCTGGTCTACAAAACAAGTCAAGGACAGCCAAGGCTACACAAAGAAACCCTGTCTCCTGAAAAACAAAAAAAACAAGAAAGAAATAAAGAAAAAAAATTAATTTCATAAAATTAGGGTTTGAGAGATGGTTCACTTACTGCTCTTACAGAGGACCTGGGTTCAGTTCTTAGCACCCACATGGTGGTTCCACAACTCCAGTTCTAGTGAATCTCATACCTTCCTCTGACCTAGGAGGGCACCAGGCATACACGTAGTACACAGACAGACATGCAGGCACAACACTCATACAGAAAAAAATTAATAGAAAAAAACCCTTAAAATAATAAATCCATTAAATGTATCACAGGAGGCTGAAGAGATAGCTCAGTGGTTACGAGTGCGTACTCCTCTTGTAGAAGATCCAAATTCAGTTCTCAGCACCCACACTGTGGGGAGAGGGCTTCACAACTGCCTATAATTCCAGCTCCAGGGGATCTTATGCCTCTAGCTTTTCTCTATAGGCATCTGAACTCATGCGCACATACCCACAGATGTAACTAAAGATAGTAAGAATAAAGCTTAAAATATAAAATGGCTCCCGGCTTGTCTCCCTGCTTCCTTTGAGGGTCCACTTACCTGAAGAAGTAGGAGCAGCCACGGACAGTGTTGTGGGTGTAGTGATCCACAGTCTTCTCACTGCCGTAATCCTCTGTGGGGTCAGACCAGAGCAGGTCACACAGCGGCCCAAAAGGAGGGGGCTCCATAAACCTGTCTAACTAGAAGATACACGAGAGCCAAAAGAAGAAGAAAAAAACAAAATCAGGAAAGTAAAAGGGTTCTTGGAAGCAGGCAGGTCAAAAATCCACTTTGACCTACAGGAATGCACTAAAGATGAAGCTCTGAGCCCTCAATGAGTATTTTTTAATAAATGTTTACAAATATTCAGAGTCCTGTAGAAAATGGCCTCTCCGTCCATGCTAATCTAGTGCAGCATTCATTTAACTCAAACGTGGAATCAACTGCCACAACTTATTTTTTAGGCTAAAGTTTGTTTCAGTTTTCTGTGGGAAACAGTGTTACAGCAGAGCAGGAACAATTGGTAGTGATTCTGTTCGATCACTGCTCACTTTATTCCAATGGAGATATTTTCTTTTGTGAAAAAGCCTTTTATTCTTTCCATTCCATGCAGTGGAGGCATTTTAGTAATTGTTATTAACTTACATTTTTAGTCACTGCTGCTTTAATCAAAAACACAAAAATCAGAGAATATAAATAATTAGGTTTTAAACAGACTGGAACATCTGAGAGTCCACGAAGGGGATGAGAAGGGGCTTTTATCACAGCTGACTCACATTGTTAAATACAAAATCAACCCAAGGAGAAAGGCTAGGTACTTAAAAGCCAGCACACAGGCACACCTCGGACTGGGAGACTGCTGTGAGCACATGGAAATCCTGCTTGTATTGCTATATAGGAACTGAAAGGACGTGAAGGTGAGGAGGTACCATGAACAATAGTGCAAGCGCATAAGGCTGTTCTTTTTCCCCCAGTCACGAAATGATCACATGTAAAGCAAGTAGAGCAAGCAGCCCATGTCATTAGGGTGTTAAAGTCTGCGTATCAGAGCTGGCAGGGGACAGGCACTCGTTTAAATCACTTTACAAGGAGGGTGTACTCAAAAGTAAGGGTGTTGGCCAAGTCTCCACACTCATGTTCTTTCTTTACACACTACAACATAAAAGCGTTAAAGCTGAGCATGGTGACATTTTAGTGTATGAGGTACGAGCACTGTCTAGAGTTCAAGAATAGGCCGGGCTTTATAGAGAGACCCTGTTTAAAACATATAAACACCACTCCTGATGAGATCTGATAGACTAAGATCAGAAGGAAGGAAAGGAGGACCTCCCTTATCAGTGGACTTGGAGAGGGGCATTTGTGAAGAAGGGGGAGGGAAGGTGGGATTAGGAGGGGAGGAGGGAGGGGTTTATGGGGGGATACAAAGTGAATAAAGTATAATTAATAAAAGTTAAAAAAATATAAACACTTTTTCAAAAGTTTCAGAGTTGTTCAGTAAGAATAGTATGCTTTCATTCATTAAAATTTAACTTTAAGGCCAGGTAGTGTTGGCTCACACCTTTATTCCAGTGCTCAAGAGGCAGAGGCAAGTGGATCTATTGAGTTTGAGGTGAGCCTGCTCTACAGAGCGAGTTCCAGGACAGCCAGTAACACACAGAGGAACCCTGTCTCAAACAACACAAAACAAAACAAAAACTTTAATTTTTAAAAAGAGAAAGAAAAAAATATATGTATCTCCAAGTGTTAATATCAGCTCTCTGACAATGGCAAGATCATGGGTAAAATCTGTCTTTCTACTTCTGATTATATTTTCGTTTAATCTTAGCTATTGCTATATATTACATATAAGATATATTAATTGTCTAGGATAAAGAATGAAAATTTAAAAACACACTCTATGAAAACAGCATAAGGGAGCCTAGCACAGCTATCCTCTGGGAGGCTCCACCTAGCAGTAACTGATACTGAGACTCACAGCCAAACATTAGGAGGTGTGCAGGGAGCCTTGTGGAAGAGTGGAGGGAAGGATGGAAAGACCCAGAGGGGACAAGAACTTCACAAGAAGACCAACCGAGTCAACTAACCTGAGCCCAGAGGTGCTTATGGGGACTAAAGCACCAACTAAGCACCATGCATGGACTGGACCTAGGCCCCTACAAATATGTAGCCTATGGGAAGTTTAGTCTTCATGTAGATCCCCTCGTAAAAAGAGCAGGGGCTGTCTCTGACAGGGACTCTGCTGCTTGCTTTTCAATCATGACCCCCTAGTGGGGCTCCCTTGCCTGGCCTCAGTAGAAGAGGATGGGCTCAGTTCTGATTCAAATTGATATGCTGTGGTGGATTGTGGGGGAGGCTCCCATTTCCGAGGAGTAGGAGAGGGGGGATAGGGAGAAGAGAAAGGGAGGGTGGGGCCGGAAGGAGAAGTAGGAAGGTGTTACAATCAGGATGTAAAGTGAATAAATAAAGAGGGCAAGGTAGAGCACATCTGTAATCCCAGCACTTGGAGAAACAGAGGCAAGTGGATCTCTGGGAGTTCAAGGCCAGCCTGGTCTACAAAGCAAATCTAGGACAGCCAAGGCTATACAGAAAAACCCTGTCTCAAAAAAACGAAAACAAACAAAAAAGTGAATAAATAAAATAAAAATAAATTTTAAAGAAAGGAAAATAGTATAAGTTTACTTACTTTCCTAATATCATCTATACTATTAATTTCAGGTGACATTCCTCCATGTACACAGAGAAACTGTTGGTTTAAGAGAGCAGCAAGAGGAAGACAGTCAAAAGTGTACATACACGCTTCGTACACCAGTTCTGAATACTTGATCCGACCTATGGAAAGAGGACAAAGTCAAGGGTTGAACGGTGTCATACCCAAAGAAACCCTAAGCAGGTGAAGCCAGCTCTGAGGTCATTGGTGTCAGGGAAGCCTGAGAAGATGTCTTTTAAGTGTTGCAGACAAGGCCCGGCGTGTTGGCACATGCCTTCAATCCCAGCACTCTGAGAGACAGAGGCAGGCCAATCACTGTGAGTTTGAGGCCAGCCTGGTCTATAAATTGAGTCCAGGACAGCTAAGGATACACACAAAAACACTGTCCTGAAAAAATAACAACAAAAGAGTTGCAGACATGGCTAAAGACAAGTATGACCTTGGATTAACTTTCCAGCTCTGTCACCTAGAAACCTGATATGGCAGTTGTCTGCAGGCTGTCTTATTAGGCAGCATCATATTACCTGGAGGGAAGCTCTGGCTTTGGGCTCCTCTGAGGCTCCTTTTAGCATGCTGCCAGTAACGCTTTTATGAAGGATGCTGGCAGTAGTGATCCGTGGGGCTTCTAAGGTAGAGTAAGTGGGTCCCTGCCCCATCCTACACGGAACTGAAAATTATTTCTATATCAGAACCCTTTCTACTCATTTTTTTTTCTGTTCTTTTTTTAAGGATTGATTATATTGTTTTGCCTGTGTGTATGTTCATGCACTGAGTGCCTGCCTGGTGCCTGAGGAAGCCAGAGGGGGCACTGGATCCCTTGGAACTGAAGTTATATAAAAACTGTTTTGTATTTTTTGAATCCAATTTTTATGTCTGTGGATGTATATATGCCTACCCGAGTTATGTGCACTGTGTGCGTGCAGGTGCCCTCAGAGGCCAGAAGAAGAATCAGAGCCGCTGGAACTGGAGTCAGAAACATTGGGAGCCACCCAGTGTGTTTGGGTCACAGGAACTACACCTACGTCCCCACCAATATAGCAGCTTACAGTTCTTCTTAAATCAAGTTCCAGGGATTCAGTGCTCTTAACCTCTAAGCCATCTCTCCAGCTCCTGCACTTTGTATTGTAATGTGGTTGTCAAGTTGGAACTATGGTATAAGGAAACACTCCCAAGTGGGCAGATTGTAGGTTTGTCATAACTCTCCAGGAAGGAAAAGACATGAAGTAACAGTGAATACTGCTCAGCTATTAAAAACAAAGACATCATGCAATGTGCAGGCAAATGAATGGAACTAGAAATGATCATCCTGAGTGAGGTAACCCAGACCCAGAAAGACATGTATGGTATGTACTCACTCATAAGTGAATATTAGCTATAAAGTACAGGATAACCATGCTATAATCCACAGACCCAAAGAAGCCAAGGAGGGCCCAAGGGAAGATGCTAAGTCTCACTCAGAAGAGGAAATAAAATAGACATCTGAAGTAGATAGATACTCTCCTGGGTGGGAGAGGGAGTGGGGAAGGGAAAAGCGGTGGGAATCAGGTGTGGGGAGGTGGAGCACTGGGAGATAGAAGAGAAATCCATGGTGGGGAGGCAACTCTGGGATAAGGGAGGCTCCCAGGAGTCTATGAGGGTGACCCTAACAGAGACTCCTAGCATTATGGATTAAGGAGCCAGAAGTAGCCCTCTCCTGTAGCTAGAACAGACTTTCAGTGGAGGGAGAGAGACACCAATCCACCCACAAAACCTTCACCCCAAAATTTGTCCTGCCTACAAGGGACAAATTGTCCTGCCTACAAGGGTTGAGGGAATGGCAAACCAATGGCTGGCCCAACTTGAGACCTACCCCCTGGGAGACAGCTAACCCTGACACTATTAATGATACTCTGCTATGCTTGCAGACAGGAGCCTAGCATAGCTGTCTTCTGAGATGCTTCATCCAGCAGTTGATGGAAACAGATACAGAGACTCACAGCCAAACTATAGACAGAACTTGGGGTGTTTTGTGGAGGAGTGGGAAGAAGGATAGAGGGAGCCAGAGGGGTTAAGGACACCACAAGAAGACCTACAGAGCAAACTAAGCTAGGCCCATGGAGGTACACAGGGACTGAACCACTAACCAAAGAGCATGTATAGGTTGGACCTCGGCCCCCTACACATATGTAGTGGATGTGCAGCTTGGTTAACATGTGGGTCCCCTAACTGTCTCTAACTCTGCTGCCTGCCTCTGGATCCCTTTCCCCTAGCTGGGCTGCCTTGTCAGGCCTCAGTGGGAGAGGATGTGCTTAGTCTTGCTGTGACTTGAGGTACCAGGGTAGGATGGTAGCTCTTGGGGGCCTTCCCTTCTCTGAGAAGAAAGAGGTGAGGGAGGGAGTGTGAGGGTGGCACTGTGAGGTGAAGAGGGAGGAGGCCGAGTGAGGCTGTAAATTGATTAAATTAAAAAAAAATTCTAAAGAAGGGCTTTTAAAATTAAAAAAAAAAAAAGCATTTTCTCTCTTGATGCTAAGGTACGGTTATAAGTATGTGTGGGTTTCAGTGTGAGACATTAGCAGACAGTATGGAACCTTTGACAAGAGCAACCTTAATAGGTGGAGCCTATTGGGAAGTCACTGGGGGTACTGCCCTCAGAACTAAGTAATGTTGTGAGACCCTGATTAGTTCTTCCAAGAGGACTGCTAAGGCTGTCTCCTCTCTAGTATTTGGCCTCGTGGGTTCTGTCTTTCTTTAACGGTGCTCTCCCTACATGAAGGCCTCATCAGTTAAGAACCAATGCTGGTACCCTACCCTGCAACCTCCAAAACGGTACACTAAACAAAACTCTTTTCTCTGTGAAGTACCCAGCTTCAGGCCTTTTGTTAGAGTAATACAAAACAGATTACACAGTTGGCCTTGGGTTTGAAAGTAAAACTGTGCTTTTACAGTGACTGTTGGTAGAGAAGACCAGACAGTATACATGCAGGCAGCCCTAAAATGCAGTGAGTTCCTTCTCCTCTGAGACTCTGTGAAGATGAGGTCACCTACAAGAGAACAGAGCTGAAGCTAGTGAGTCAGAATATATTGGCAACAGTGATTTATGCTTGTTTTCTTCTTGTAGTCTCTAAACTCCTAGAAAAGGGAGCATATTTCAGTATCAAAGCATGGTTTCATCTTTAGGGAATAAAGTGAAGGATCATAAATCTTAATTTGGACCACAGTGCAGCATCTAGACAGGGGAAAAGACTAGGGAGCCCAAAAGGAAAGTGTAAACCCTAGCCACGTGTGGTGGTACACACCTTTAATCCCAACACTACCAAGGCAGAAGCAGGTGAATCTATGTGAGTTCAAGACCAGCCTTGTCTACAAAGCAAGTTAGGACTACACAGAGAAACCTCATCTCAAAAAAAAAAAAAAAAAAAAAAGCCACCAAAAAAACAAACATGTTTTTTGTTTGTTTACACTTTCCTGTTTGTTTACAAACAGGAAAGTGTAAACAAAGGGACCATATGAGATGATAAGGCCTTCCATTCATGAAAATCTGGGTTTTCTCTTTGTGGTGGATACTGCATGATTGGGGTTTGGATTTAAGGGAATCTATGGGTTCTCTGTACACTATCATATGTTTATTTTATAGCATATGCTACTTTAATATGAGCTCAGAGTTTGTAAGAACCATGACAGATGCAGTTCTGTGCCTCTTTATAGTTATATCCTTACCTGGCTATTTCTTTGCTATTTAAATTTTTTTAAACTTATGTTTATTGGTGTTTTGCCTGCACATATCTCTGTGTGGGCATGTCAGATCCTCTAGAGCTGGAGTTACAGATAGTTGTCAGCTGCCCTGCGGGTGATGGGAATTGAACGTGGGTCCTTAGGAAAAGCATCCAAGCGCTCTAAACCACTGAGCCATCTCTCCAGCCCTCTACTTTGCTGTTTCAAAAGTATATCCAACTGTGGGTATAACATCTGTCCCAAATAAAAAAGCAAACAAAAAAAAAATCTTTAAAATGTGGTCAGTGCTGGACATTTTCCCCTAAAAACACAGAGGCGGAATCCCCACTGTTCCTAACGTCAGTAGAAGAGTCCTAAGCCGGAATACAGGTATGAGTTAAAATGACGTACTACTTCATGCCACACTACCCTAACAGGGACTCAGAGAAAGCCCTCAGCTTGTAAACAGATGCTATATCTGGGGAGAAACAGAAAGAATGTACAGAGTACCAAACCATTTTGTAAACCAAAATAGGAGGCCAAAAGCCAAATCAGGTGAAAAGAAATTCCTGGTGCATTAGTGAGTCAACCGGTGGTCACATGTTACCTTAATCCCCCATCCCGAGGGGTTAGACCAGAGGCAGTATCTATAGTCCTATTCTGCCGCATTTTCTTTCTTTTCTCTGATGACTACATATCTATACATGTATAGTGAGTACACATATGTGTAGTGACCATAGTTTATATCGTCGAGCTAAACGCCTGAGCCAGCACACTGGTTAGATAGATGACTTGTAACCTAACTCTCTCAGTTTAGACCTTAGGTCGTTGGCTCTATAGCTTGGGATCTTGGGCAAATGCTTTCATTCCACGTGCTTTGGTTTTCCTGATATACAATGGGAATGAAAACCCTTGTAAGTCATGGTGCTATGAGGATGGTTGCACCTATGCGCTAATGCATCGTCCTCACAGAATCCCTACGAAGTAGGTGGTATTCCCATATTCACTTAAAAGCCGACGAAAGCAACTCAAGAGGCGGTTAGGCTGTTAAGAGCACTGGCTGCTCTGCCATAAAACCAGGGGTCAGTCCTCTACCACACGGCAGCTCACAACTCTCACAACTGTTTGTAACTCCAGGGTAATAAAACAGCTCTGGGGTTACAGGACATTTCAAAACAACAACAACAAAAACTTAGATGTAGTCTTACATAGCATCTAACAAGTTTCAAGCACACAAGTTATCTAAGTATTAAAAAGAAGTTCTAGAAGAAGGCATGGTTGTAGGGAAGAAATTTTAATGACAGATTCACAGGCAAGAAAAGACAGACATGTTTCACTATGTAAAAACGAAGGCGCAGTGGGGCTGGAGAGATGGTGCAGCAGTATGAGCACTCATTGCTCTTCTAGAGGACCTGGGCTCAGCTCCCAGCAC